TGAGTATCTGTCATTGTACCAATACCACACGGTTTTGACAACTGTGGCTGTATAGTATGTGCTAAAGTCAGGTAAAGCAAGCCCTCCCACTATGTACCACAGCTTTCTTACCCATTCTGCTATTGAGAGATATTTGGGCTGTTTCCAGCTTCTTGGCCATGTGAACTGTACCAAGATGAATATAGAGGTGTATGTCAGTTCGTGCTCTGGCTCTTACTTTTTTAGAGTACATAGTCAGCAGAGGTATTGCTGGATCATATGGAATTTCTATTCCCAGTTTTAGGTAGTGCCACATCACTTTCCATAGTGCTGTGCATATTTATAAACCTATCAGCAATGTTTGAGGATCCAGTTAACCTCTTTGCAACCTCTCCAGCGTTTTGTTGTTCTGTTTTTTGGAAATTGACTGTTACTGTTGGTGTGAAGTGGTTTCCTAGATCGGGGTGGGGGTGGTGGTGGTGGTGGTGGTGAGCATTTCTTCCTATCTTTGTTTGCTATTTGATGTAATCTGCTTATGCTTTTGATTTATCCAAGAAACCGTTGCCTAACACAAAGATGTATGTCTATGCTTTCTTCTAAGAGAGATTTTTTATCTTTGCTGTGACATTTATCTTTTTTGCATGTTGAGTTAATTTTTATGTTTGATGTGATGTAAGAATCCAACTTTATTCTTTGAGATTTGGTTAGACATTGTTCCAGGACCATTTGTTGAAAAGACCATATCCCCTCTCCCCAGTTGAATGGTCTTGGCATCTGGTTGAAAATCAGTTCACTACAAAAATCTGAATATATTTCTCGATTCATTTCTATTCTCTTGATCTATATGTCTTTCCTTATGCCACTATTTCATTGTGGTTTTATTTTGCATAACCCTAATAAGAAATAATATTAAGTATACAGAAGTTTATTTTTACCCAGTTGTTTTCCTTGGTGAAGTAGGCAAATATCTTGCCTTAATTTTTTTGACTTACGATTAAATTTTTTTTTTACCCTCGCCATGAATTAGCACAACCGTAACTAGTTTTTACCTGCCCAATAATATAGCATTCTGACAAAATTACCGTATATACTCGCGTATAGGCCAAGTTTTTCAGCACGTTTTTAATGCCGTTTTTGTGGTAAAGTTAGGTGCTTCTGCTGATACTCAGGTCGGCTGATACTTGAGTACATACTTGTCAGTGGCTCCCAGCAGCTCTTTTTGACTTACTATCATTGTAAGATTCTTTTCCATGATGGTGAAGATGGCACATTACTGAGCAACAGTTTATTCTGTTGTACTTACGGGTGCAGCTAGTTAGTGCACTCTGACAATAACAGCAGGGGGTTCTTCATATGTTGATGAAAACTTTCTGTCTCTAGCTTGCCTTATCATTTTCTTCCCTTTTTTTTAATGAAGCAATGTTTATAGTTTTGATGAGTTGAACTTGCCTTGTTACCTTTTTATGGTTTGCGGCTTTTACATCTTTTGTTTTAAGAATCTTTGCCTAAGTCAAGCAACAAAGATTTTTTTCCCCCGTGTCCTGCTTTTTTTGTGGAGTCTAATTTTTAAAAAATCATTTTACTGGGGGCTCATACAACTCTTATCACAATCCACACATACATCAATTGTGTCAAGCACATTTGTACACTCATTGCTCTCATCATTCTCAAAATATTTGCTCTCCACTTGTATAGTTTCAAACCCCCCTCCCACCAATGTAACCATCCACTTGCCACAGTGCCACTTGTTGAAAAGATCATCCTTTCCCTACTCAGGTATCTCTGCGTTTTGAAAATGAGAATTTTGGGTTCTATTTTGTTGGATTTTATCCTTGTTAATGTTTCCTCCCCTTATAAATGACCCTACAGCTGCTCCTCATGAGAAAGATGAGCCTATCTGCATACATAAAAACTTACAACCTCAGGTTGTTAGAATCAGATTTAACATTATCAGACAATATGTCTTAAATAGCAAGAGTCAATATCTTATGCTTAGTGCAATAGTTTACATTTTTAAACTTCTTCCAATTTTATTTTGTTCTCTGTCTCATTTGTTATCCCTTTTCCTGTCCTTTGATATGGATGAAATTATGGGAATTCAGAGAAAAGAGAATTAATGCTTTGCTGATTAAAATAAGAATGATTTCCTAGACAAGAAAGTGTTTGAATTGGGACTTGGAAAAGGGAATGTTTTAGTCACATGGGACTAGGGACAGTTAGGGAGGAAATGGAAATCAAACTGCTAAGATAATTTAGATGAGAAAAGAGTGACTGTTTAATTTAGGATAGTGGATATTAAAAATATTATGGAATCTTAAGATCTTGCCAGGCGAAGAATATAAAAATTTGGAGATAGTGGTCATATACTGAGCTAGGACTTCGGGACAAGACAATAACTAAACCATCAAGTTGATTCCCATACCCTCCTAGAGTTTCTCCACAATACTTTAAGTCTAAAAGGGAGCAGACAACCTCATCTTCCTCCTGAGGGACAGCTATTTTGCCCTTTAATACCAGGTAAATTTGCCATCACTTTGAAATGATTGAACAACCCTTACTCCAAACAAAATTTTTTTATCACATTCACCATGCTGCACACACAACTTTTGAATCATAGAAAGGCCTAACTAAACTCAATGACATAGAGTTGATTCTGACATATAGCCACTCTTTAGAGCAGGGTAGAACTGTCCTCTTTGGGTTTCTGAGACTGTGTGTATTTATGGAAGCAAACTGCCTCATCTTTCCCCTTGGGAGTGGCTGGTAGATTTGAACCACTGACCTTGTGGTTAGTAGCCAATGCTTAATGCTATCAAAGCATGAAATGACACTTAACTAGCTGCCAGCGAGTTAATTCTGACACATAGCAACTCTATGTAGGGTTTCCAAGGCTGTATCTTGGTACAGGAGCAGGTAGCCCCATTTTTCCCCAGCAAAGCACCTAGTAGGTCTGAACCACTGACCTAGTAGTTAGCAGTGCACAACACCAGCAGGGCTCCTTAATGATAATTTGATAGCAAGGCTGTATAAGAATGTAGGCTCCTGTTCCCACTTAACTCTGAATTAAAGTTAAAGACACATTTATTTATAACCCAAAGAGTGCCTGAAGTAGGGAAGAAATTGAAGTCAGTTTAGGATATAGTGAAATTGAGATGTTGAGGGACTGTATATGGGCAATTGCTGTGTGCCCCTCAATCTGGAACCTTTCTATTTCTGGATCTTCACATGGCTAATCTATGTCATTTAATTCAAATATTGCCTCTTACAGTAGATAGTCCTTAACCATCTTGTCTATTTTGCCCTGATCTGTACTATTTTATTCTCCCTCTAGCCTTTTATTGTAGTTCATCATATTGATTTGTTTGCTTCTTATTTATGTTATTCTATCAAATGTAAGTTCCATTAGTGTAGAATTCTCTTTCATGGTCTTCATTACAGCACAAATATTACTTCTCTAATTAACTGTGTGGTTCCTGTGTCAAAAAAAATTGTGTTTTTGGATTCTAAATTTCTTTTTTTCTTGGCATCATAAATTGACACAGCAGTGTACTTAAATAAACAAAAACTACCATTTGTTGGAATTTTTCAAGGCCAAAACATCATTTTTAAAACCTGCTAAAATGGTTTATGCCATTTTAAAAAGCTTTTCAACTGATTATCTTTCTCCCATATTGATTTACATTATTGACATTAAGTTTACGTTAATGCCCATTAGATAGGTGTAGGTATATTTTTTACAGCTTCCTACTATGAAACTACAGTGATCTGTGACCAGAATTATTATTAAATTAACCTGTCACCTTTTTCTTCTGGGGAAAAAAAAAGCATTGGATACTTTTATACTTGATTAATCATCTCACTTTTCTATTTTACAGACCCAGAAAGCCTGAATTCTGTGAAAAACCAAAGAAAAGAAACCAAGAGGATAGCAGACAAGGTCTGTCTAATTTGAATAATGTAAGTTCTTTTCACTATTCTTGGCCTGAAGCCTAAGTTAGCTGACAAAGCTGTTTCTATGGAAGCAAATAGTCCAACCACTTAGAATGTCTGAGGAATGCTGTTCATTTAAAATGAGACTTCCCAGCTGCTGGTCAAAGGGCATTACTTGCAAGAGAAGGGGAGAATGGATGAATTGAAAAAATTCAGGAGTTCTGGACATTAGTGTAAACGAACTGTGTTTTATGCATATGAAGTATATTTTTGTATTTGATTTTGCTTAGAAATCAGGAAAATTATCCAGAGGAAATTGTCTTCCTGCTAATATGTCATGTTCCGCAGCTCATACACCAATGGGTCTGCTTCTTGGTACTGAGCTTTGACGGTCCTGAACTCCTCAGGCTATTTGAGGATCTCCTCCTCAGTCATTTGCCTATCCCCAATGCAGCTTATTTAGCTTCCTTTTACTCTCCTAGCTAATTCACACAACAAAGCCCTCTCTCCCCCAGGAGTTTGAAGGATGGCACAGTGGTCAGAGCACGTGGCTACTCCTGACCAAAAGGCTGGCTGTTTGTACTCACCAGCACTCTGTGGGATGTAGCAGCCTGCTTCCATAAAGATTTACAACCTGGAAACCCTATGGAGCAGTTCTCTGTTTTATAGGGTCACCGTGAGTTGAAATCGACTTGTTAGCAATACGTAGTTCAAAATACATTTTAAAAAATTATTTTTAGGAGGGTGCGGGGACTAGGATTCTGGTAAGGATTTGAAATGTGGATCTTTAAGACGTTTGGACTGAGAAGGAAGGAATAGCTTGGGGCCAGTAGCTTGTCATTGCATTAGTTGCATATTGTCGGTTGGTTGCCTTCATGTCGATTCTGACTGCGGACAGTCCTGTGTGTAGAGAACTCCATAGGGTTTTTAAGGGTGCTTCTTCTGAAGCAGATTCCCTGGCCTGTCTATTATTTTCATAAAAAGAAGTCATTCTCTCATTCAGTCGTATACAGGCTTTTGTATGATGAAAAGGGCTTCATTTTTGAGAGGTAGAATGGAATCTCTTTGGACAGGGACTCTTTATTGTATGTATTGGCTTTATATGTAAGCTGAAATATTCATGGATCGTGTTTAATGCCAAAGTTATGGCATTCTATATGAATTTTAATGGTGGATTTTAAAATTTCTTGATCTTTATAGGACATTTAGGTAGACAAGTGTGGGCAGGGATCCTGTTTCTATAACCCAGGTTCCTAGCCAGGGATAAATGCTCAGTTAGAGATTTGTCTAAATCATTGCTCTTCAAAATCTTTGATAGTGTTCTTATGCCTAGAGAGTGAAGACTTACATCCAAGACCTTTCATTAACTGTATGCAACCATGTTTTCTAGCCATATTGTCCACTGCTTTTTTGTACAAACTGACTAATTACACTAACCTTGTACTTTTTCCATGCCTTTTTTCTCCTTCTTTGTTTTCTGTCCTCTTCTTCAAGGCCTACCTTAGCCTCCAATCCTCACTCTGTAAGAGAGGCATGTTTGAACCTATTTCTGGAGTTAAATGAGTGAATACATATTTCACTGTGTGAAGTGTTTAGAATTTTATTTGGCACATAAAGAAGTACTTAGTAAATGTTAGTTGTAGTTGCTATTCCTACTGCTACTACTATTACTAAAACTTCCTCTTCATCCTTGCCCTACTGTTCCAGTCATTTTGTTTCTCGTATATGAATGTAGACATCACACCAAGTTTCATTGATTCTTTGTCTTAACTATCTCTTAAATATGTTTCTCTGACTGTCTTAATTCAGGATCCTATTTCTTACAGCTGCCTTTAAACCAGTGGTTCTCAATCTTCTAATGCCACGACCCTTTAATACAGCTCCTGATGTTGTGGTGACCCCAACCATAAAATTATATTTGTTGCTACTTCATAACTGTAATTTTGCTACTGTTATGAATCATAATATCAATATCTGATATACAGGATATATTTTAATTATTGCAAATTGAACATAACCACAGATGAATATAAAAAGACTGATCAGCATCCAAATGAAGTTCCCATGGTATGTATATATATATATATATTTGCAGTAATTGATGATTTTACAGTACATGATTTTACATTTACCCAGTAATTATAATTTATGAAGGGTTGTTTTCCTCCAACACTGCTGTTTTCAACACAGTAGCTACTTTTAACAGAGTAGCTGCTCTCTACACATGTGTGACTTGGTCCACATAAGTACATTATGGTGCCAACCCTGTCACATACACCTGTATTTGTTGTACAAGGTGTATGTGATGGGGTTGGCGTGATGATGTCACATCACACTGGGTACTCAGATGAGTGGACCTGCCTGGAGACGGATAGAGGAGCGGTGTCTCAGTTCCTAAGACCATCGGAAATAATGTGTTTTCCGATGGTCTTAGGTGACCCCTGTGAAAGGGTTGTTCGACCCCCAAAGGAGTTGCAACCCACAGGTTGAGAACCGCTGCTTTAAACTTTCCATTGCCATCCTTGAGGCAATCCTCCCCACTTTAGTCTTTATATTTTCTATAAAATTGAACGTAATCATCTGCTGCTTAAAATCCTTTAGTGATTCTTAACTATTTTTCAGGGTAAGGTAAAAAAATCTTTTACCTCTTAACACATCTCCATTTAGCCCATTGATGGCCTTTCCAGTTACACGTTATTCATGTACTGCATCCTCCCATTGTCCCATCTGGTTTTCCTGCATTGTATTCGCCTTTCTGAAATTGCCTTTACCCGCATTCTCCACCTTCCGGGTGGCCATATGTTTCCCCCTGCCTGCCACATACCCTTCTAGGTGACTAGATTTGAAATTTAAATCTGCGTAATTTTTCATTGTTCTTTGAAATATAGCTAAAAAAAGCCCAGTGTGTCCTTATATTTTGTTTCCTGCCACAGTTACTACAGACTAAATTTTAGAATCCACTTTGTGCAGCCTGTGTTGTCATTTTAAAATTCAGTTCAACAAGTATTTATTGGGCATTTCTTGTAGGTATTTTATTGTGCTAATAAACAACAGGGGTATAAAAATATAATATAACTCCTGTCTGTAGTAGATATTTAATCTAGTGAGGCGAGATCAACTGTGGGAGAGAGCCATCATTTATTTTATTTGCATTCTTTTCCAGTGGGCTGTGAACACTCCAAGGGAGATGATCAAATGGAATTTTAAGCGGATTATGAGGTTGCGGATTTTTTTTGCAGAGGAAGAGAGTAGATTCAGATAGAACAGTATGATAATAGTCTAAACATGAGAACTTTGACTCTGATCACCTAACCTGTTTTCGCTCCCATGGTCTTTAAGTGAACAAGGAAGGGTACTGTCTGAAAGTTTTTAAGGTGACACTTTGAATATCACAAAAAAAGTTTTGTGGTGTAGTATACATATGAAGTAAAAAATAAATTTCTCATTCTTAACTTTGATTTTTCAATACCCAGTACATTTTGCATAGAGAAAACTTAACTTTCTGGGCGTATGTACACTCCTAGATTTTCAAAATTAAAATTAAGTGCATAAATACAATAACTCCTATACAAATTTTGCTTATAATGAAATCATTAAATTAGCTGAATATTGTGTGTTCTTGTAATCAACACATGAAGCTCAGTCTAATGGTAAATAAGGTATTTTGCGTAAATCATTGTAGTTATAAAGCAGAGAAGCTAAATTTAGATGGAAGTCAGAAGAATCCCCTAAAATTCATGTGAAAATATAATTCTGTTGGTCATGTCGCTTGCACCCATAGATTTGTCTGTTGGCCCTAGTGGTTTTTATGGCAGGCCAGGTCTGCAGAACTTGTCGCTGTCGCTCTAGAGCAGTGGTTCTCCACCTCCCTCATGCCGCGACCCTTCCACACAGTTCCTCGTGTGGTGACCCCAACCATCACATTATTTTCATTGCTGCTTCATAACTGTAATTTTGCTACTGTTATGAATCGTAATGTAAATATCTGATATGCAGGATGTTATTTTCATTGTTACAAATTTAACATTCTTAAAGCATAGTGATTCATCACAAAACAATATGTAATTATATATTGTGAAATATTTATTTCTAATGACAAATAAATGAAATGTTGTCTTGAAGCACGGTGTAGCATGGGTAACAGTCTTCACGCTGGGTACTCACTCGGGTACTCGTATGTGGGCTGATCCACATGTGGGTGGAACCGCCTGGAGACGCGGCTCACTCCCTAAGACCATGGGAAATAGGTGCTATCCGATGGTCTTGGCAGCAGGGTCCTCACTTTGTAAACAGGGGCCAGTTCACTGTCCCTCAGACCCGTTGGAGGGCCAGACTATAGTTTAAAGTAAACTATGAATTCCTATGCACATTGCACATCTTATTTTGAAGTGAAAAAACAAACGGGGCAAAAACACCCGGCAGTCTGGATAAATGTTCTCAGCAGGCCGCATGTGGCCCGTGGTTGTAGTTTGAGGACACCTGGACTCTTAGGCAACCCTATGAAGGATCCTTTGAACCCCAAAGGGGTCACGACCTGGAGGTTGAGACCCGCTGCACTGGACAGTTGAGAGAAGATTAGCTGGCATCAGAACTATTATCAGAAGAAGAAAACTTTTGCTTAGTTGGCATCATTCTCTAACCAACCCTCTTAATAAAGTGATACTCAACTCAAGGAGGAAGTAGGCTTATTATTGTAAATATTTTTGAAGCCTTGACTGGATGAAGATTAATTAGATTTAGATTTAATGTGTGGGCTTCTACATATTTAAACAGTCTGCCTATTTTTATGACGGAGAGATGGCATGGCTTAATGAAAAGCCTGCCCAGTAAAACATTTTTCTTGTCTAGAATATAGCAAAGGATAATAAGAGAATGAAATTAATACTAACAATGATATGTTTTTAGTTTTAACACTCAAAACATTTAAAACTCACAACAATCTTATGAGAAATCTGAATCTGAGGTTCTTCAAAGAGGGTGACCAATTGGCCTCAAATCATAAAGCTAGAGGAAGTTATAGAATCAGAATCTAAAGTCTTTGAAAGGAAAGTACTCAACCCATATAGCAAAATAATAATATATATTCAGGAGATACATTCTGTGTTGTGTGAGATTAGAAATTAACTGTGAAATTTGCTTTTGAATTGTGATTCTTATACTTTTTTCCCCTTCATCTTTTCCCTTAGATTTCCTTCGTGGATATTTTTTCATAGCCTTATTATGTGAGAAGTTTTTGTGTGTTTTTTTTTTTGTTGTTGAAGTAACATGGAATTTATACTACAGAATCAAGAGAATTGGCTTTATAGGAAAAATTGATTTATAAAAAGTGGTACAGGTTTTTATAAATAACCATGACAACATCTCATATGAATGGGCATGTTACAGAGGAATCAGACAACGAAGTAAAAAATGTTGATCTTGCATCACCAGAGGAACACCAGAAGCACCGAGAGATGGCTGTTGACTGCCCCGGAGATTTGGGCACCAGGATGATGCCAGTACGGAGAAGTGCACAGTTGGAACGCATTCGGCAACAACAGGAAGACATGAGGCGTAGGCGAGAGGAAGAAGGGAAAAAACAAGAACTTGACCTTAATTCTTCTATGAGACTTAAGAAACTAGCCCAAATTCCTCCAAAGACTGGAATAGATAACCCTATATTTGATACAGAAGAAGGGATTGTCTTAGAAAGTCCTCATTGTGCTGTGAAAATATTAGGTAAGTGAAAAAAATGTTTTTTCACCTTAGCTTATGCTTTTACATAGATGGGAAGGAAAAGTGGTGTAAGAGAGTGTAAATAATGACACGTTTGAATTCTAGACCAAGTAAGTTCTTTGTATATACAAACCAGGTAAAGCTAAAGAATATGACTCAAATTCAGTCACTTTAACATGTTTTTTAAATATAGCCTTTGAGTTTGAAAATTTCCATGGCACCTTACATTTAAAACTTTGAAAGTCACTTAAATGATGCTAACTGAAAAGTAGTTGTCAGATTTTGACTTTCTAGTTTCCTTAAATTTTGTAAAATAAGTTAATATGTATAACCTAAAATCTACGTGATTGCTTACATTAATGAGTAACAAGATTTCTTACATTAATGACTGCTGTTTATATGGCATCAACATAAAGAATATTCCCCCCTTTTCTTTTTTGTTTTTTAATCATTTTATTGGGGGCTCATATAACTCTTATCACAATCCATCCATCCATCCATTGTGTCAAGCACATTTGTACATTTGTTACTACCATCATCATTCTCAAAAAAACGTTTTCTCTTGAACCCTTGGTATCAGCTCCTCATTTTCCCCCTCCCTGCCCCCTCTATCTTATGATCAATTAAATTTAGAGGCCAATGGGTTAAATAAAGTAACAGCTCCTGCTTACAAAAAAAGTTTGGAGCCTTTAATGTGCTAATAGGCATTATGATTCTCTAAGAGCGGTTGATGTCCCTGCAGGTTGAGCGTAGTACCCCCTTTCTTATGCGCACAAGGCTACTCAATTATAGTTCAGGCTTGGTAGAGCTCAGTTTGAGAGATGCTGGCTTATATGTTAATTTGTGCTTCTGTTAAAATCAAGTTACCTTAAGTATTTTATTTCTTGGCACTTTTATTTTATCAATATGAAAAAAGAATTGCTGCTGCTCTTTTAACAGAAGATGAGAGTTGTTGTTTTACTCTTCATTCACATAATTGTTTGCTGAGCTCTGTACTAGGTGATTAAGCAAACACTACGTAATACCCACAATAATTCCATTAATGGGCTACTTTTACATATTTACTGTAAATCCTTCAGAGGCATGATAATTGTCCTGATTTTCAGGGACTACTCATCTGGGAAGACAAACTCACCAACACATACAGTTCACTGGGAATTAATTAACTCATCAAAGGGAAATGGTGCGTTTGGTTACTTGATCCAACAGAGGATTTAAGAAAAGCTCCGCAAACCGAGGAGGATGGGATTCGCACCCACGCGTGCAGAGCACAATGGCTTAGCAGTCCATCACCTTAACCATTCAGCCACCTTGTCAGGCATACTATAACATATTTAGAAGATGAAGAGATTGTGCCTTAGAGAGTTAAATCATTTGTTTAATTGCCTTGCTTGTCTTTTTGTGGTTGTGTTGACATTTTTACCGATTGTAGAGAGATGAGACCCTTATCAGATGTGTCCTTTCCAAAGATTTTCCCCCAGCCCCTAGGTTCTCTTTTCACTCTCTTAGTGGTATTTGATGTGCTTAAGTACTCCATTTTTGGGGAAAGTTCTAGTTACTAATTTATCTTTGGTCTATGAAATTTTAGTTTTGCTTGATAAACTATGTGTGGTGAAAATTAGGCTCCCAGTGGCATGGTCGAGCCTTGGTGGGGTAGTGGTTATGCACAGGGCTCTGCATTTTGAAACTACCAGCTGCTCTGCGGGAGACAGACAAGGTTTTCTACTCCTATAAAATGTTAGGAGTCGGAATCCACTTGATGGCAGTGAGTTTGGTTTTTCCTGGTTGGGGTTTTGACTACACTAGCTTCCAAAAACCTGATAGTTTTAACATTAAGTCTTTGATCCACTTTGGTTTGTTTTTGTGCATGGTGCTTGGATCCTGATTCATTTTTTGTAGATAGTCAGTTTTGCCAGCACCATTTGTTAAAGAGACTACTTCTTTTCATTGTTTCACTTTGAATACGGCTCTAAGTGGGTTGATTTCTGGGTGGTGATGTCTTATGCATCCTACTCAGGTTTATTTGTTGCTGCCATTGATTCTCTGTCCAACTGCTTCTTCCTACTGAATGGACTCTGAGCCTTTGTTAAAGATCAGCTACCCATGGATGGATGGATGGATTTACTTCTGTGCTCTCAATTCTGTTGAATTGGTTTATGTGTCTGTCTGTGAACCAGTATCAGGCTCTTTTGATAACTGTGACCATAGTAAGCATAGTAAGTTTTGAGATTAGGAAGTATAAAGGCTCCTAATTTGTCCTTTAGTCGTATCTTAGGTATGCAGGGCCTCTTTATAAATAAAATTGTAGGTTAAAAATTTAAATTTTGATGCTATGAAGTCTGCTGTTGGACTCTGCATTGGAATATCATTAAATCAAACGATCTCTTTTTGGTACTATTAACATTTTCAAAATGCTCAAGTCCTAGCCATGAGCATGGAATGAAATTTTCCATTTATGTATTTCATTCTTATTTCTTTGCAATAGTGCTTTATAGTTTTCCTCATGTAAGCCTTTTATGTCCCTGATTAGGTTTATTACTAGGTATTTTATCCTTTTGGAGACTAAATATAAATTATATATATAAAGAAATTTTTATTTATATATAT